ACGTGTGCTCTTCCGATCTAAACCCCAAAACCCCAAAACCCCATGGATGAAATTAGTAGCAACAACAATTGAGGAATATACAGACGTAGATACTAAATTTAACATAAATTTAATGCTAATTTAATCAGTAGAATCCCTTTGTTTAAACAGAAATATTATAATCATAAATAATGAATACTGAAAGATCATCCTCAGCAGATGCCTCCTGCATCTAGAAGTTTAATGAATTCTTTTGGAAAGACTATCCCATAAAAATTGCTATTTAGTAACTTAACCCTGCACCTTGGGCTAATTCAAATGTACTCTTTGCAACTAGATTTTTATCAGCTGTGTTTTTGATATTCTTGCCTATTTATGAATTTAAACCCTATAATCTTGCATTTTTTACTCACTGGGGAATATATTTCAGTTCAGCAACATTTATTTTGTTGACAATTCATGAATTTAGGATAAGATTTGATAAAAAATACATAGTTTAGATGCAGAAAAATTTTAGAAAAACTCATAAACCGCTTTGTTCTTACTGGAAATGGTGTACATACTTTTATTAGCAAACTCTTGTTTATGAAGTAATGCTTGTGATTTTTTTCTGGGTAGTTCTTTTTCCAGGAATCGATATCAAGCACGCAAGTACTTATAAAGTTGCTACAACGTTTATAGATCATTTAGTACCTGTTACTCTATTACTAATTGATTTCGTTTAAAATAGCATCCATTATTCTTTTAGACATCTTGTTGTTACATAAGCTGTACTTACTATCTATGGTTTTGTAAATCTCAGTGTTACAAAAATTAATCATTAGCCTGTTTATTCAGTTTTGTCATTTGACTCCTTTTTTTCATGGGCTTTAGCTCTCAGCTTACTGCCAATAGACTTAATAGTTCACACAATTTTCTTCTATATTACAAAAAAAAGAACCTAGCATTATTAAAAGAATACTATAGATGAAGTATTTAGGAATACATAAAGCGAAGACTTTGAATAGTTTCCTTCTGCTAAACTATTATCAGATTCAATTGAAGAATAAGATTAAGAACAATAGAAAGAGAATAAGAATATCTAGATTAATGTATCAACGACTCAATCAAATAATTCTGTAAGTTTAAAACATTAGGTCAATTAAAGGCAAGAGGAGGATGATTGAAACAAATAAAGTATAAAATAGCATTAAACATTCTATCAATTTTTCATTATTTAAGATATTAGATATTTCTCTATTCAGGGGTTTTGGGGTTTTGGGG